ATCAGTTATTGATCATCAGTTATTGATCATCAGTTATTAATCAGTTATTGATCATCAGTTATTGATCATCAGTTATTGATCGTCAGTTATTGATCATCAGTATTTATTGATCATCAGTTATTGATCATCAGTTATTGATCATCAGTTATTGATCGTCAGTTATTGATCATCAGTATTTATTGATCATCAGTTATTGATCATCAGTTATTGATCGTACCTTCAGGTCTCACAGAGTCGGTGGTTGCAGCTGCCTGTTCCAGAGTTGGGCAGAGAGTTCTTCACCTGGACAGGTGAGCAGTCATAAAACCAGGACAGATATCTGTCACCATGGTATCATCAAACATTTTATTGATCATTGATTGGTGTTGATGAGGACAGCTTCCTGTATTCTCAGGAGGAGTTATTACGCTGCCAACTGGGCCAGTTNTCACTGTAACAACATGGCTGCCGAGGACTTGCCGTCGGAATTTGATGTTGTCATTCTGGGCACAGGTAAACTCTCACCTGGGTTTTCATCACCGGTTCTGCAGCGCTTCGTGTGTTGCAATGTGTTCTGACTCGGTTCGGTCCAAAACATTCCGGATTATGGGTTTAAAACGATGTTAACTGCGCCAGCAGCTGCTGTTAGCCTTGGCGTTAGCTCGAGGCTAACAGTCAATGTATTTTCAGCGGCAGCGGCTAGCAGCTAACAGTTAGCCTAGGCGTTAGCTCGAGGCTAACAGTCAATGTATTTTCAGCGGCAGCGGCTAGCAGCTAACAGTTAGCCTGGTAAACAACCGAGCGTGTTCTGGTGTTAGCATGAGAGCTAACAGCTAATATTTACTTACTTATCACGTGACTGCGACAGGAAGAAGCTAACCGATGCTAACTGGTGCTAACTGGTTAGATCTGAGTAAAATCTGTCAGAAACCTTAAAGCTGATCAGAACCAATCAGCTGTCAGATTGATATTTGACACCACTTCTGTCAGCTGATCAATAAACCAGTGGTCTGAGCTGGTCCTGGTCCTGGTCCTGGTCCTGGTTGGTGCTTTGTCTGTTCTGAGAAGTTCTGGGTTCTGTCATGAATCATCAGTATTTATTGATCATCAGTTATTGATCGTCAGTTATTGATCATCAGTTATTGATCATCAGTTATTGATCAGTTATTGATCATCAGTTATTGATCATCAGTTATTGATCATCAGTATTTATTGATCATCAGTTATTGATCAGTTATTGATCATCAGTTATTAATCAGTTATTGATCATCAGTTATTGATCATCAGTTATCGATCATCAGTTATTGATCATCAGTTATCGATCATCAGTTATTGATCGTCAGTTATTGATCGTCAGTTATTGATCGTCAGTTATTGATCGTCAGTTATTGATCGTCAGTTATTAATCATCAGTTATTGATCGTCAGTTATTGATCATCAGTTATTGATCGTCAGTTATTGATCATCAGTTATTAATCAGTTATTGATCATCAGTTATTGATCATCAGTTATCGATCATCAGTTATTGATCATCAGTTATCGATCATCAGTTATTGATCGTCAGTTATTGATCGTCAGTT